GCACGGTTTACGGTTTTCAGGACGCAACAGTCATGTTGATTCGTTGCGTTGGAGTCTTGGGAACGGCATTCTGGAACGGTGTAGGACTGTCAGGGCTCAACGATCACGTTGATCCGCCGCGTTGTTGGCATGAATGAGGATCCTCAGACAGTTGTCCTCGAATTGGCCACTTTCTGGAATGAAGATGCGTAAATCATTCCAGGGACGTGTGGAGACTGAACTCGGAGGGAGGGTTTATTGCAACGTCGTTGATGCATCTAGGGTTTGCATTGGATTCCTCTCCTCCTCCTCCTCCTCCTCCTTCTTTTCCATCTCCTCTTCCTCCTCCTCTCCTCCTTCTTTTTGTCCCTCCTCTTTTCTTATTCTCCCTCCTCTCTGTTCTGTTCCTCACTTTACACCGTCCTCCACAATTCCACTGACCATGCGTGCGTCTGTGTTGCGAGACCCAGCTCACTCTGCAAAGCCATGTTGCCGATCGCGTGGTTGACCACATACTTGTCGCAATGTGGCTCTTGAGTTGACCACGCACGTTCCCCTACACAGTATGCAGGACCTGCTCAGCATTGGCAGCGGCGGTCTCGTAGTTGATCAACAAGCACTGCATTCCCCAGCACGCTAAGCAACAGCGCGCTGACAACAAATGCGAAATCGAGCCCGGGGTGAACTATGGAGCCGCACAGGAGGCTAAATCATGACACATCACCGGTGGCGGCGGCAACGGCATGAGTTCCCTTGATGAACATGATAGGGGTTATGCTGTCGTGCCGAAGGAGCACGCAGTAATTATGGAATCTCACAGTCGATAGATAGGTGCAAGAATGCAGAATCAGCTCTTCCGCAGAGCAGTGCTTGACTAGCCTGCCGCTTGACGGTTGACTTAGAGCTTGATTTCTGTTCTCACCTTGTGCCACCCTTCCCCCCCCCTCTCGGGCCGTAAGAAAGGGCACGGCGGCGGCATTGGTTAAGGAATGTGCCCAGGACGCCTCAGACCCTGGAGGATTCCCTATCCGATGAGGGCGGCGGTGATATCCATGGCCAGGCCTCGATTGGAGTTCCACTGGCCCCCAGACCCTGGATTCCTTATCGTAAGGGTTCCTTATCCAATGCCCCCCGCCGTAGGATGGGGAACGGGAGGGTACGACACATTTGTTGCATGCAGCTGGTTTCCGCCGCGCCGCAGGTCCCATTCCTCAAGGCATGGGCTTTTTACCTTTCCGTCCCTCCCGCCTCTCTCCCCCTCCCGCCTCCCCTTCCTCCCTCCACCCCTCTGGCTTCCTTCTGGGGTGGGTGGGATCCAGGGGCCTACTCTGCGAGCACCTTTCGGAAAGGCATTTATCGGAATGGGAGGATAACGTTTGCAGGAGTGAGCGTGTCACCAACATTGCCGCGCATGGTGAAGGTGCGTATTACACAGTCGTGCCCTGCATCTTCCCAGTCCCTTCCTCCCAGCACGATAACTGTCTTTCTCAACCTTCACACGAGACCTGCGAGCAATGTCTATATCCACATTAAGTGCGTCTTGGAGTTTCGGGCTCTCTTCCCCAGAAACATGAGGCGCACTGGACATGGACAACATCCTGGCCCCACATGGCTACATTTTGATCCATATCCAGTGCGCCTCGGCCTTGCGGCGCCCTTTCCAACAAAGTCTAAGACGCACTGGATATGGATATAACTATTGCCCGCACAGTCTGCCAACTCGGCGCTCCGCACCGAAGTCCGCCCGGGGTCACAGAGAGCGGCGGCGCGGTGTGCGACACCTGGTGGTTCGCCTCCCCTCGCGCGACGGGGCCGGACAGCTCAGGGGCCTGGGGTCAGTGCAAACGGTGGTCAGCCAGAGCACCGGATTTTCCAGGATCTTGCAGAGCCGGGGCTAACGAGAGGGGGTCCAGTGCAAGCGGAGGTCAGCCAGAGCGCCTGATCTTGCAGGATCCTGCAGGGCCAAGGTCGCATTGCCCCGGGTTTGTGGTGCAGGATCTTGCAGGATCTTTCGCATTGACCCGGGTTTGGGTGCAGGATTTTACATGATGTTTGGGTCAGAAGATCCCTGGGAGGAACAAACAACGGCATAAGTATAAATTTGTAGCGGTCCGCGCGGTTTTCTTGGACCTGCGCCTTCGGCGCCGCCCCTGGCGCGCTCCGCGCGCCAGGGAGGGTGGTCCAGCTCAGATTCAAGACTCGCGGACCGTTGAACGTCAATGTTGATAGTGTCCTCTCTGCCTCAAAAAAGCCAGGGTTGTATTGAGCCGGGTGAGCGTGCAGGGTCCTGCAGGATCCTGCAAAGCCGACTGACCCGGGCTTGCACTGACCCAGGTCAGTGCGTCCCCGACTGGGGCCGAATGACGAGGTGAGCTTCGAAGGGACCTGCCTCGAACCGTCATGGGAGAGCACGCATTTGCCGACATGAGGTCAATCGCATGGGGCGCTCTGGAAGGGGCCTCTCGCCATTGAGGCGTCGACGTGGTCCACGACTGCTATTCCATGCTGTTTTATGTTCCCC